ATATACTGCATATTGTGTACTATTGTTTAGTGTGTTGAATTGTCTTTGTCGTAATGAATTAGTGTGTTGAAATCTTGTGTCTGGAAGGAGTCAAACAAACAAACAAACAACAAAACAAAGCAACTGAACTTCACAGCTCTAGATATCGACAATCGAGGTCAAATAAAACTGACCTCAACTAGCTGTACTCGACTACCGTATTACGGTGATGTAAAAGGACGGTGTTCCCCGATACTGCCGCTGAACTGACGACGTCAAACGTCAAGCAGGTTCGATCTTTGCACATGCGACTACTTCAGACTCAGAGGATCAGCCATAACGGAGGCCGAGCGGGGAACTGAGACGTTGGAGATCTGTCTATTCGGACGACTGTCTATTGCGAGATCTGTCTATTGTGACAACTGTCTATTGTGACAACTGTCTATTGGGACAACTGAACCATTGGAGGTCAGTCTATTGTGACCACTGTCCTTTGTGACCACTGACCAGATGACCCTGGCAGTGAGGATCCTCCTGGTGCTGGCGATGACGTCATCAGTCTTTGGCGCGTCTTCCTGGCAGGTCAGTGTTTGCGTTTGTGCGTGTGTGGTTGTCAGTGTGCCTGTGTGTGTGCTTGTGTGTGTCTGTGTGTCTGTGTGTTCGTTGTTTGTTCTTGTAGGAGTTTTACGGCACTGGAAACTGCATGAGGTCATGTGAGCGCGCCTTCGTTTGTGTTTGTGTATCTGTATGTGTGTGTTTGTCTGTATGTGTTTTCGTTTGTGTGTGTTTATCTCTGTGTATATGTGTTTGTCTGTGTGAGTGTGTGTGTCTCTGAGTGTGTGTATGTCTGTGTGTGTGTCTGTGTATGTGCGTGAGTAAGTGTGTGTGTGTCTGTGTGTGTATGAGTGACTGTTTGTTACTCCCAGGGTAAATTGCCTGTGTGGGTTATGGGCTGGAGTCTTGAGCTTGCCAGGTTTACCTGCAAGGTCAGTCAAAAGCAGCCATTTTGGCAAACTGTCAATTCCACTGTGACCTTCAAATCGAACGTCTTAGTTGTTGAAGGTCGTGCTGTGTGTCATAATGGTCGTGTTGTGTCATAATGGTCGTGTTGTGTGCCATGTGTCATGATGGTCGTGTTGTGTGTCATAATGGTCGTGTTGTGTCATAATGGTCGTGTTGTGTCATAAAGGTCGTGTTGTGTCATAATGGTCGTGTTGTGTCATAATGGTCGTGTTGTGTGTCATAATGGTCGTGTTGTGTCATAAAGGTCGTGTTGTGTCATAATGGTCGTATTGTGTCATAAAGGTCGTGTTGTGTCATAATGGTCGTGTTGTGTCATAATGGTCGTGTTGTGTCATAAAGGTCGTGTTGTGTCATA